CACCTCAACAAAATAGAGTTACTAATAGAAAGAACATAACAATTGAGAACAGCAGTGTTTTCAAAGATCCAATAATTTGAGAGAACAATAGCTATTAATTATATCATAATCAAGTTATCAATCAATGTTTTCAATAGGTGAAAATACACAAACAAATTTATGATGCCAACACACGAAACATCTCTCTCCATTAAAATATATTGAGGATGATTAGAACAAGTACATTACGTTTTACAATTATACATTTTCACGTCAGGGACACCAATCTCATCTCCGTTCTTGTCCCCTTTCAATGGCCTTTTGTCTCTCTGTATATCATCACACGAACGATCAAACAAACAAACAACTTAACGTAGCAGGAAGGTGATCTTCCACCTTTTCCACCGAACCGATGCCTCTTTTACAACCCATTTTAATAATCAAAATAAACATTTAACATATAAACAAAACACTTCACGTGTCAATATCAAGGTTAATGATCAAAGGTGGTGGTTGGATATCGTCATTCTGAGGTACAAGTTCAGCTTGTATCTGAACTTCAAGCTGTTCTTGCTCACGGATCCTGCTCATACGCTCTATCAATTGTGCTGCCTTTCTTTTGCCTCTGTCAGTACCATTTTGAGCCAATTCCAACAACGGAGCCATCACCCCCAGCTCCTCTGCCTGCGCTATATACTGTCGATCGCCAGAACAAAGGTGAACTAACACCGCAGCTGCGTTCTCTTTGTTCCTTGGGGATCCGGTCCCAATAAACTCTACCAACACTGGCACTGCCTCTGCAGCACCAATGGCAGACTTCCCTTCAGGATGACTAGACAAAATTGCCAAAATGGCCAATGCTTCATCCACCATTCCTCCGCTAGGTTCTGTCAGAAGTCGCATCAGCGTGGGAATAACACCAGCCCTCACCGCCTTTCCCTTGTTTCCTTGGTAAATGCACAAATTGAAGAGTGCTGTTGCAGCATCTTTCTTACCCCTTGGGGTACCCTCACTCAGCAGTGTCACCAGTGGTGTTATGGCTCCTGAAGAACCAATTGTAACCTTATTTTCATCTATAACTGAAAGGCTGAAAAGTGTTGCCGCCGCGTTTTCCCGAGCTTCCATGCTTCCCCTCTTCAGCACATGAACTATGCCTGGAACTGCTCCTGAAGAGACAATGCTTCCTTTGTTACTCTCATATATGGAGAGATTCAAAAGCGCTGTCACAGCATGCTCTTGAGTTCGGGAGTCGGGCACAGAGAGGAGACCAACGAGGAGAGGTATTGCACCAGCTTCAGCAATAGCTACACGATTATCTGCATTGCGTTTTGCAAGAAGGCGAATCTCGCCAGCAGCTGATCTCTGGTCTTCAGGACTGCCAGAAATGAGCTTTTGGATTAGATTTTCAATCTTACTTCGCTCAGCTGGGGTGCAGGCTGATGCTGATTTACTTGCCTCAGAAGTGCTGGGTCGTTTTGGTGGCTCTATGCCATTGGCTTCACACCATTGTTCTATCAGGCTTCGTAAGACGTAGTTGGGAGTGAGAACAGCACTGGTGAGAGACTGCTGTGTTTTTGGGCATGTCATGTGCCCGTCTTGCAACCACTTCTCAATACAGGAACGCTCATAAGTCTGCAGATAAGAACAAGATGCGTCTGAGTGTAAATAGATAGTTATCAGCAAACTGACTCTCAAACGGGTAAAATGTCCATAATGAACAAGGAACCATCATGTAGCCTTCGGTTTTTATACAAACAATCAAAATTTAACCAAAAGTTATGTTCCAAAGAAATCTATCAACCTAGAAAGGAATTGTACATTTTGCAATGTGTCAGACTCAATTAAAGCTCAATAGCCTTAGAGAAGAAATTCCAAGATAAAGTAGGGACAACCATTTTGCTTATGCTTCTTTACTTTTCTCAATACGACCCTCTCTTGTTAATAAAATGAGAGAATTATTAAGTGGAAACAGATTATTTATAGTTTTCTTAAACCATAGACCTTTAGATCTCTTGAGAAAATTTTGCAAAGAGTGTGGTTTTGTTAACAGCGATGTTACATTCAAGCAAACATAGATGCAAGATAAGAACATTTGAATTGGAAAGTCAAGAATGATAGTGAAATGACCAAACCTTAATAGCCGTCAGAGGGTATCATAGAATTTACATACCTGTCCTGTTGAAACAATGACAGGATCAATCATCAATTCCAAGGAAATCGGACATTTAAAATCACTTGGGATAACAGTGGCCTGATGATTCATATCATTTTTCCGCAGTCCTTGAAATCCGGAAGAAACGCCCTTTGCTATTTTAGTATCATCCTTGACTAGGTTTTCTATTTGCACATGATCCTTTATCTTCTTCAGTAACATTGACATTTTCTCAATGCGGGCCCCTGGATCCCCACTGCTTACTGCTACCATCTCATGCAAAGCGAGTGATTCTTGTGTAAGATCGGCTATTCCCATCAATTGCAATTTGTCTGCTAATCGACTTAGAACAGCTGAATCTGTAGCTACGTCACTGCTATTGTTGTAAAGGTATGACATATCTTCATACAACTTGATATCTGGTTCATCAACTCTCCCTTTTGCTCTTCGAAACTGAGCAAGAACTAGTTCAACCTGAAATGATAGCGAGAATTAGACAAGATTATATGAATAACAGAAATGTAAAGAAGAAGATCCATAGTGTAGCAAAGTCCATTATATTGTAAAGAGCTATCTAGTAAGATTCGCAGTGTTGCACCCAAGCAATAAATATATACAATTTAAGTGTTTATACCTGCTCTTTAACTTCATCTGATATGTCAAGTTTATCATAGGAAATTGCATCCAGTGATTGTTCCAACCGAGCTGTCACGTCATAGAATTTTTTCATAATCTGGTCTCTCTCAAGGACCTGAAAACATGAGTCAACACAACTGAATCAACATCTGAGGCACCATGTGTCATTTTTCTAGAATTAAGTTTTCATAATGCTCTCTCTAAATATATTGTTTAATTTAACTCGTGATTCACAAAAATGATTCAGCTGTAAGCAAACAAATGTCAAAAAAACAAGTATATGAAATACCTCTTATGTAACCGTAAGCAAGGTGAGGTTTCCATATAGATTAAGAGAAATACAATATAGATTTCAAATAGTACAAAGATTGTAAATTGTATTAAACAATTAGTTGCTTAATTTTGCATAAACCTGGACTAGTTTGACCTTTTCAAAGTTCCATGAAACCTAATAAATTTGGTACCATGGACAGGGAATTTCTAAAAAATACAGCAATAGCAATGCTTAAAACACTGTGGACGCCATTAAAGGAAGATACTCTTCCCTGACCTCTACATTTTTTTTACCTATTAACTTTCTCTGCGGAGCCCCACTCAACAGAAATCAGAACTATGTAAATAGCAATGGTCCAAAGCACTTGGACCACATGTGGACCATTGTGGCAGAACCACCAAGCAGTTAAAAAAAACACGGCTTTGAAATCCCAGGGTACTTTCAATAAAAGAGGGTTTACTCATATGAAGAGTGCTGATCCTGATCCATAATTTAACATTAGATGTAAAAAGTTTGGTAAACAAGATCAACCAGCAGCTCCAAAACAGAATGGCCACAATAAAGTCTTTCTGAGAGAACTTCACAGCATTTAGAAAATTCCTTTTGTCTCTCAAATGTTCATGTGTGCAAGACTACATCTTCCAATTTCCTATCTGGGGTGGGGAAAGCATCTCAACTCTCAACTGAAGAAAGAAAAGGCATAGAAAAATACTTACTCAACTCCTCAGCAAAAGTCTGATTAACAATAGAAATGAACGGAAGAGGATTCTTCAGTTGATATCCAAGGGTTCATGAGGTTTCAACTCAATAGTAATAGTTTGACTATAAAACCTTAAGCGACAGAGTTCAAATCCCCTCAAAAATTGTTGTAAAATAACCATTAGTATCACTTTAATTAATAAAATATTTTTCTTTCCCCAGTTTAAAAAAAAACACAAGTCCAGACAGTGCTGTCCATGGTGGACGGCAGAGTGCCAAAATCCCACCATACAGAACACTTTGTGGCGCCGTTATAGCAGATTATGGCGGAAAAACCTGCAATATCGGCCGATACTTACCATTGCAGCGAGCCCACAAACCACCATATATATCCACCATAGCGCCGCAATTGCGGGTATTTGATAACACTGGTCCAGAGACACAACAAAAAAAATGATCTGGAACCAAGTAGTGTTACAATTGTCCCAGACCTTGAACAGCTGTAGTTTTGTAACTTGAATAGATACCATCCAAATCATTGAACACCATACAAGCTCAAAACTCAGAAATTCATTTTCTTTACACTTCCTAAACACCATGCAACCTATCCTCAATAACCAACTCAGCACAAAAATCCAAAAATATGAAGGTTTCACTCATCCAGCATAAACAAATCTAACTAAACAAACACAAAACTCATCCAGCATAAACAAATCTAACTAAAAAAACACAAAACTAGAAGAGAGAAATCAGATCATAATCACCAACACAAATTCAATCAACATAACAAATAGTACTAAAAATAATTATTTTTACTAAAAACAAAAAGTGTATACACCCAATTTCAAAGATATGTTACTACTAAAAATAAACAACAAACCATGTAAATCTTGCTTCCTTCACTTCCAAATCTGAGAAGCTCCCTAGCTGATTCAAGAGCTTGTTTAAACAAAACCACAGCTTTTGAAGTGTAATCCGGGATTGAATCATGCATATCCCGAATCTCCTCGAACAAAGGGATCAAAAGCTTCAACCTTCGAGCTAAATTGCAATACTGTTTCTTCACCATAGGCCTGAAGTCAGAGATGTTAGAAATCTCATTGACTAGGTCAATTATAGCGTTCACTTTCTCACTTTCCATGATGATAATGATGATGATGATGATGGTGATGCGAATTTTGGTTTTCAGATCGGTTTTAAAATGTGGCGTTTAGAGGAAAATTTGTCGCCGGAGATTTCGGTTTCCGGTCATGTTTTTCGTCAACGACAGGAAATTTTCAGACACTGAGGTTTCTCGAAGACAGAGAGAGAGAGATATAAGAGAGAGAGATAGACGCGTGATGTTTTTTTTTTGTGGCGCGGCTTAAGATAAGTGATTGAAAGGGTTTTGAGTTTGAGTGAGACAGTGGTGACTCGACTCGACTCGGCTCGGCTCGGCTTGGCTTGGCTTTGATTTGGTGAAGGGCGCTTAATTCGGTTTAAATAACCATGGTAAAAGTTGTAGAATAGGAACGAGTCTCCGGTGGCTATGGAGGTAATGTTTGAAGGAGTAGGGGACTGTCAATTTTATGTTTCGGAGTATGACAAAATTTATTGGCTTAGATGGGAGATTTTTTCATTATAAAAAGGTTGTTTGGTTTGCCAAAAAGAGGTGACTATTTTTTTATGTATAAAATAATGGATAAGTTAATTCATATATATTCGATTAATTGTGTGTTATAATTATAGTTAAAATTTTAAAAATAATCCTAACAAAATTTAAATCCAAGACCCTTAGATTTAGAATGAAGTGTCCAACCACTAAAATATAGTTATTTCTTTGTTAAACATATAAAATAAATATATTTAATACATAAAAAAATGTTAAGTATAATTTGATGTATTTCGAGCAGGTCTACCTATAACACATGCTTTCTGTAATATAATTAACACAACACATACATCTAAAAATGAAACAGGATTTCAAGACAAACACTTCCAACAACAAGTTAGTACTATGCCTCAACCCCTATCAATGCTATTTCCAGAATCACAATACGATGGTATCATCCACTCACAGAGGCTGCTGCATAAAATATCAATTGAATCACATTACCAGAATTCTCTGCAAGATGCTCTTTCAAAAAAAATGAAAGCAAAACCATCTTAGAATAAAATCAAATTAATGAAAATAAAACATAACATAATATAGTTTTTCATAGCAAAAAAGTATCACAATATAAAACATTACATATTAGAAACACCGTGTTATAGTCTAACTGATGTTACCGAATTTACAAGTTAGGTGTGTCATACTCTTGCAAGAGAAAAAATGCAATTACAAACTAGAATCATACACACATCACATATAGTGATGAAAGTAGTAAAATGAAACTTTCCTTGCATTAAATTTTCAAATTTTCAAATTTTCAGAAAGTAATAAAATATAATCTGTAATTGAAAAAGAAAAAAACTTAATGCTACTATCTGATACTATCTACATAGGAATCAGAAACATATATAAGGTTCTTTACCGTATTTGTATTTCTGATTTTAAACTAAATGTAAGAAAAAAGGGTGCATCTCGAAAATACATTTCTGATTACGGAGGGACAAAATTGGATTTTCATAGGGCCATTTTCATAGGGCCATTTTTCCATATATAGAGTAGGGTAATAAATCCCCTAAAAAAACAAAATTACATTTCATTTATTGGGTCTCATATCTAATTTAGATTAGGCTTTGATAAGCCAAACAAAATAATGGATCAATTTATCTTGCTTGGCTAGGAGGTGAGACATTTGATTAGCAATTATATTCATAAAAGAAACTCTAAATCTCTTCGGTGAGCGCAACTTATTTCTAATTGTGTTACCCAACACACCTTAACTTGTTTTAGGAAACTCATTCTTTTCGATCATGTGAGTGTTTCCAGTGATTTCTGGTAAACAACCGCTAGTCTTCCAAACTATCGAATAATCTTTATTAACGCTACTCAATCTCTCTGGTAACTCACAGGATCGACTAGATTGATCCTAGGACTCCTTGGATATTAAAGTTACTCTCACAATCGAACAATTATTCATGGTTGCTATTGTACAAGTGTTTGGTTTATTTCGATCCTTCTCTCTAAGAGTTTAAAAATGTGGTCAAATTGTACATGAAAACTAAATTATACGAACAAATGCTAATTGTAATGCTGATTGAAGAGACATATAAAACTGTATGAAAAATGAAGTAAATGGTTTCGATTTGCAAAACATTTAACATAAAAGATTTCTGGAATGTAGAAGTTTAAAATGTGAAGAAAGCGTTTAATGCAATTTTAAGTAAAAGGATGCGTTTGAAAAACAATACTTGGAAGTAAAGGTATTGAAAGCGTAACAGTTCTCTGAAATATAAAGTGCTCGAAATATAAAGAAAGCAATAAAGAGTAAAACTTTTGAGGAAAAGACTTTGAAATGAAAAGACGATAAATAAAGAAACTTGTAAATGTTATTCGATAAAAGAAAAGAGGAAAGTACTGGAAATGGTAAAAAGGCTTTCATTAAGTTAGAAATACATGGTGCTATCATACATACATCTCTCTTGCATTCGTTTCCCTTGCCATGTGGTAGTTTGAATGTTATTGAGTATTTTGTATAACAGATATGACACACTGAAATCCTAATACTAAGACTTCTATTTATACTAATTCGACCCTAACGGTCTCGCTATAGGATCATGCCACGTTTCGAACATGCAAGACAATGCTTCTTTCATCTTTCCACGTGTCCCCAAATGCTCCAACACATAACTTTCAAACTTTGAAAGTCCCGCTTCCATTTAAATTTTAAATGCTTTGGTGTTTCTCCGTTTCGAACGCTCTTCCCAAACCTAGCCTCGCTGTTGTTTCGAGACCCCTTTGGATATTTTCCCATGATCACCGTTCGAAGCTTCAAGCTTTGACACACTCATTCGAAACACTGCTTCTGCAACTTCGAAATATGGTGTTCAATTCCATTTCGATCAGAACTTTTAACTCTTTTGAATTCTAGATAACATTATCAAATCTTCAGCCAACAAATTGCCCCTTTAAAATATGTATTTCGATCTCTTTGAGAAATACCTATTTTAAACATTTATACAAGATTTTGATAGGATTTTCGAATCATCATAACATTTAATGCCTTTGACTCCAGTCACATCAATCATAGCACCTTTTGAGTTCCTTAACCGCCCAGAGTCACTTCACAGCGTGGAGCAGTTATAAGTAATGATTGTTTTTAAATCACGCCTATTACCTATATCACCTTCTCGCCACCTCTTCATCACACCAACCCATGATCTCCACGTATCACACTTTTACTCGGTGGATGTTTAATCTTCTCATTATAAAACGTCAATTTACTCTTCCTTTTCCTTTTTTACACTCTAAATCTTTCATACTCTGAATTTTCACTCTTCTTCTCTCATAAACAATCTAAGCTCTTAAACAACAAAAATGTCTTCCTCCACCTCTTCCCAACTCAAGAAAGTCTCAAAGAAGAAGGGAAAGACTACAGGAGCAACCATGGAGAGTAAAATCGTCACCATTCAAGGCCAATCTGCTCTTGCTCCTCAAATGATTTCCAAAGAAAAAGAAATGTTGTACGCATCACAGGTACTCATCCCTACCCATGTTGCTGGTAAGAGGTTAGCCTTAAATGGTCCTCTTACAGTTTTTGAAATACTAAAGGACACCAGGACAATTTTTCCCGTATGTTATAGCTTCAAACCTTTATTCAACAAAATGGATACCCCTAGGGTAGTAGAATCCCTCAGTTCGAATACCGCAGAAACCCCAACTGTTCCTCCCAAGGACCCATTTGTTTTGGATTATGTAAAAAGCAATTTTAAACCATTTAGATCTTGCCCTACTTCTGATATTGCCTATCAAAATTGGTTCGCGAAAGTAGAAGCCAAAAAATCCCAGCAATGGGAAGAACTAGGCATTTATAACCTCATTAAGCTATCGAAACCTGGATTCACCTATAGCCACCCTCTGCTGTTCGCGTCCCTTTATTTCTGGGATAGTACCTACAACACTTTCCATCTCCCAGGTGGAATGATTACCCCAACTTTCTTTGATATAGCGGCTATTACTGGGCTGTCGCCAGTGGGAGAAACTTATGTTCCTGACAACGAAGAACACTCCAGCATAATTGACTTCGAAGTCAAGTTAGCCAGCTTTTCCAAATTTATCAGCCATTATCATGCTGAAGGGGATAATGTGTCTGACATAGAGCATATTGAATTCTTAACCCTGTGGCTGTCTAGGTACGTTTTCTGCAGTAGATCCCTGCAGGTAGCTAGTAGATCCATTCCTCTAGCTAGGGATTTACACGAAAATCGCAAAGTGTGCCTAAGTGAATTACTCTTAGTTGACCTCTATGAGAGCCTGAGGTCAGCCGTTTCGAGTCTCAAATCCCACACCTCTAAAAACATTCTATTAGCTGGCCCATTTTGGTTACTCCAATTATGGCTAAACGCCATGTTCGAACCTTCTTTACCAACCGCCAACACCATAGATGAGCAAGATTCAGAAATAAGTGATAGGATAGTCGAAGGCACTAGGCTTCGAAGACTAACTCCTAATGATGACAAGGATGACTTCAAGGTTCAATTCTCGAAGTACATCATGATCCTCTCCAAAAGGCATAAGTTCGAAGAGAGCATGGCGCCTTTTTCTTCGAGGACTCATGGACCCTCTTGGTTCACCATGGCTCTCTCAGAAGCCATCAAGAGCAAGGAGATCCAAGATGTATGGAGAGCTTTTTTGCTTCCTAGACTCATCTCTTCAAGGATAACCCCAGCTAAGAATCAAATTCTCCTCTTTGCCTATCAACCAAACTTCGTTTCGAGGCAGTTTGGCTTATGCCAACTGATTCCTGAACCTTTGTTCCAGACTGAGAGCGCCATCACATCTGGTCGAACTTTCAAGGCAAGGGAAGCCAAGATTCAACAAGAACAATATCAAGGCTTTGCCCAATTTGAGCTGATAGCCTTCGAACCTACCCATCTCGCGGCTAAAGGGTTTCTGGAGTGGTGGATTAAGTTTTATCAAACTTGCATGTTCGATACACTTACAATTCGACAGAAACTAATTGATGCCTTCGATGTGCAGGTACCAGCAAAGAAAGGTATGTTTACTCATGTCAAAGAGATAAAAGCTTTTCAAAATTATTTTGAAACTACTTACGACCCCACGCGCTTGGACTCCACTGTGCATCAAGCAGCTGAGACCTTGAAGGAAAAATTTAAACAAAAAGTTTCTAAGCTAAAACTTCCTTCAGGGCTGTCACCTGAGGATAGGTATAGGTTGGCATTCGAAATGCATCCACCTAAATTTCCCAGATTACCTACCTCAGAACTGGCTCTGGCTTGGTTTCCCCCATATCCATGGTGGTTTACTTGCAAAGAGATGTTCAAATATCTTCAAAGGAAACCAAAGCCATCTGAGACTGTGACATGGGCTCGACACTGGCTTCATGATTTCCCAGGACATCTTCGATATGACCTTTCTGCCATGTCAATTAAATCTGATCAAGGCACAGGTGC